CTGTTGAGAGTTCTCTGTTTATGTCTGTACTCCATTTTTTTTATTGGATTATGTGATCTTTTGGTGTCCAATTTCTTGAGTTCTTTGAATATTTTGGAGATCAGCCCTCTGTCTGATGTGGGTTTAGTGAAGATCTTTTCCCATTCTGTAGGCTGTCGTTTTGTCTTGTTGACCATGTCCTTTGCTTTACAGAAGCTTTCAGTTTCAGGAGGTCCCATTTATTAATAGTTTCTCTCAGTGTCTGTGTTCCTGGGGTTCTATTTAGGAAGTGGTTACCTGTGCCAATGCATTCAAGTGTACTTCCCACTTTCTCTTCTATAAGGTTCAATGTGACTGGCTTTATGTTGAGGTCTTTGATCCATTTGGATTTGAGTTTTGTGCATGGTGATAGATATGGGTCTATTTTCATTCTTCTACATGTTGATATCCAGTTATGCCAGCACCACTTGTTAAATATGCTTTCTTTTTTCTATTTGATATTTTTTGCTTCTTTCTCAAAGATCAGGTGTTCGAAGATGTGTGGATTGATATCCTGGTCTTCTGTTCGGTTCCATTGGTCCTCCTGTCTGTTCTTTTTTTTAAAAAAAAAATATTTATTTATTTATTATGTATACAATATTCTGTCTGTGTTTATGCCTGCAGGCCAGAAGAGGGCACCAGACCTCATTACAGATGGTTGTGAGCCACCATATGGTTGCTGGGAATTGAACTCAGGACCTTTGGAAGAGCAGGCAATGCTCTTAACCTCTGAGCCATCTCTCCAGCCCCTCCTGTCTGTTCTTATGCCAATACCCTGAACAAGAGTATTCTTGAAGTGTGCTTTTAACCTCTGCTCTTAATCACTGAGGTGTCTTTCCAGCCCCATCATGCTAGTCCTCTTGACTCAGCCATCTAAGTGCTGGGGTTAGAGTGTGAGCTGCCATACCCACACATCTGTTATCATGTTTTACTGTGACCATCACTTTCCTCTTTCTCACTACCTTTCCCAGAGACAAACTGAGTTCATGGAGATGAAATCCAACCTGAAGAACCTTGAAGTTCTAGTTGCACAGCAAAGTAAGGACTTCCAGCAACTTTCTGAGAAGCTGGGCCAGCTCAATGTGCCTGGTGTCATAGAAGAGCTGAAAAAACTCATCTCTGCCCCTCAGGTAGCTGGGCATCTGAAAGACAGCACCTCCCAGACCTCACCAGCTCTGACCCAGAGCCTCCATCTTACCAGACAGGAAAAATGCACCGCTGAGGAGCCAGCTGCTCAACAGGGCCAGGTGTCTCCTTCAGGGAATCCCAGTAGGAGTTCCCAGAGGCCTAGGGAGCTTGGTGTCTGGGATGAAGGAGCAGAGAATGATGTTTTTCAAAATGCTACATTGCCAGCAGATGGGCCCCATAGAGAAAATGAACATTTGAAGAACAAAAACCTGAAGACTTACTGCAAGAACTGGGTTATCACCACCAGAAACCTCAATAACCACTGTTCTGACCCCCCAAGCCAGAAGACCGGCCGTGACCAGGATCTAATTGCCCAAGAAGCCTCACAGCTGGACTTAAATAAATTTGAATTCAGAATGAAGAATGTCTGCTCCCAAAATGAAAACGAAAACATGTGTTCTGACCAGTTTGAACAGTCAGCAACTGAACAGAAAGGCAAGACCCGAGGAAAGGGCAGGAAAGGCAAGAAGCAGCAACCCAGGAAATCACAGAGAAGCAGGCTTCCAGCTAGGAAGAAAGAACAAACTCCAAGGAAGGCCTGTGATTTCATCTCGAAGCACTGCAGTCCCCAGTCTCCAGTTTCTAGCCTACACGGGCCCCTCATCTATTGGCAGGCTCCAAGAACCTCCACAAAGTCAGCCTCTCATATTCCAGGAGGAACAGTGAGGAACAGTAAGACAGCAAGGGCAGCACAGGGGAGGACCCTGCAGTCTACCCAGCACTCCTCCCCAGACCATGCATGCTTATCTAGCAGTTCCCAGGGGGATGAGCAGATAAATTGGTTCATTGACCTCAGCCTTGAAAACCCAGAGCCTCCCCTGTATAAGAAGGGAGGGAAGAATTTGCTCTGTGATCCGGATTTTGACAGCAGTGATGATAACTTCTAAGCCTGCCAACAGTGACTTCAACTGATGGTTCATTGATCTCAGTTAGAAAAACAAATTGTGGAACATTTGGAATGGACAGTAGCATGCAGTATCTGAAGTTGGCTTATCTAGCCTCAGAGTCAGAGGCCTTGACTGATGGTCAGTAGGAGGTAGGCAAGAATCCAGTACTCTGGGCCACTCATGACAAAGGTGTAGAAGTTAATTAAGGGGAGACAGTGACAAGAGCTCAGTCAGCCTGTGATGTGGCATCAGGAAGGCAGTCATGTGTATTTGGTGAAGGGAAAGGTCTTCTTTATGGAGCACTATCTAGAAGAAGCTCTCAGAACTCTTGTGGCTGCATGAGTAGCCCTTGAAACATTCCCTGTACCTGATGGATACTGTCTGAGCCTCAGGATTTCTTTTTTTTTTTAAATCTAGTTATACTGTCAAAAGAGTTTTCTTATTTCCACTAGAGGATGTATTACAGGGTACCCTATTAGACAGGAGTTCATTATGTAGCCTTGACTGGCCTTGTATTTACAATCCTCCTGCCTTAGCCTCCAGTACTGGTACTACAAGCATGTCTCAATTCTCAGCTGTAAATTAGTCTACTTAAGAACAGAGTATTGGTACACACCTTTAATCCCAACACTCAGGAGGCAGAGGCAGGTAGATCCCTATGAGTTTGAGGCCAGCCTGGTCTACAGAGCAAGTTGCAGGACAGCCGGGGATATACAGGGGGAAAAAAAGGAGTGTTAAAGATGTCTATGAAAGTTCTTACCTATAATCCCAGCACTAAGCAGAGACCATAATTACTTCATATTTGAGGACAGCCTGGTTTACATAGGGTGTTCCAGACCCATGTGGCTACATTATGAGATCCGGGTATGGGGTGGGGTGGAGTGGAGCTGCCTTTGAGAGAGGTGACGTATATCAAACAAGACCAAAATAATCAAAACTAATGTAGCTATAGACCCTATATTGTTGGAAAGCAGTAGGCTTTTTTTTTAAATAGACAGGGTTTTTCTGTGTAGCCTTGGCTGTCCTGACACTTGCTCTGTAGACTAGACTAGTCTTGAATTTATAGAGATCTGCCTGCCTCTGCCTCCTAAGTGCTGAGATTAATGGCATGCACCACCACAGCCCAGCCAAGCAATAGACTTTTATGCTAGACTTTGGCATTCCACTTATATCTTGATGGTTTTTGTTATTTGTGTTTTTGAAGATACTGTAGCTCATGATTACCTGGAATTCATTATAAGTCCAGACTAGGCTCAAATTCACAGCAGTCTCCTTTCTTTAGCCTCTCGAGTATTGGGGCTATGGACATAAACCACCATGACTGACTTTGACATTTTTAATTTTGCAACACATATGTATTTCTTTGTAATTAAAAAACCATCAAAACCAAAAATGAGCTGGAAGATGGTTCAGCAGTTAAAGCACTTGCCACACAGATGTGAGAAGTAGAGTCCAGACCCCTAGAAATCCATGTAAATATGCTGTATGGGTGGGTCAGCCCAGCTGTAATTCTAGCCTTAGCAGGTGGAGACAGAGAAGTTAGCTAACAGAACTAACCATATCTGTGAGTTCTGGTTTTGTTTAAGACCCTGCCTCAATAAATAGGTGATTAATTGAGGATGATTCCTAACACCAACCTCGAGCTTCCACATGCATGTGCACCCACACCCACATGTGCGAGCACACCAGACATGCAAAGAAGAAGAAAAAAAAACAAACAACAACACTAAACCTCCAGGTTTGGTGACAGATGCTTGTAATTTCAGGGTGTCTAAGACAATAGGACCCTAGGTTCACTGCCAGCCCAGGCAACATAGTGACACTATGTCTCAAAAGAAAGGGGGCAGGGGAAGAGGGAGAGAAAGGGAGGAGAAGAGAAGGAAAGGGAGAAGGAAGAGAAAAAAGATAGTGAAGGAAGTCACTTAGAGAGAAGCTTCATAGAATGAATGGTTCTGTAAAATTTCCCATGTCCAAGCCAATCTTCAGCCACTGAAGACTAAACTGGTGTAGAAAGAAGTGACTCTTAATTTCTTTCTCTTCAGGAGTGTTTCCCATAAAATTCTGTAGGGCTTGAATCTGTGACACCATCGGCAGGGCGCTAGACACTAGTCTGTTCTCTTATTTCCAGACCAAGGGCTTTCTGTAGCCTGGACCTCCCACGTATGTGGACAGTCACAGCTGTCCTTTTTTAGGCCGAGGTAATTCAAGCCTGGATTCTGCCTCAGGATGTGTTGGCCTCTTCTTTCTGTGGACCATATAGGCTGGCTGATTAGTCTCCCCTCTGCACCCTCCATTGCAACCCCTGCTGCCTTAACTGCTTATGAACAGAAGTCATGAGAAGCCACAGCCCCACTACCCAAAAGGCTCCTTCCAGCCCTTCCCAGACTGGCTACAGTTGCTCACCAAGCCACCAGAAGGAAGCTCTGAGACCAAAGGATCTTATTTCTGGTGAACAAGAAATCTGTTATATTTTATTTTTATCTGTTGATGTTTGCTGTTTTAATTCAAAGTTAAGATCTTGTTAAGTTTTTTTCAGTTAGTATTTATGACTGAGCCCTTCTTGAACCGCCTCACTTTAAAATGCCAGAGATGGACCCCGTGTTGCTAACTCTGCTGTACAAAATGCTGTTCCTCAGCAGTACTTCACTTTTTGGGTGATGATGTCAAAGTTCACTGTGATTCAGTGTTTTGTGAGCTGGGTGTTTTTATAAAGTAAGCGGTAAACTTATCTCCTAACAAGGCTGAGATAATTAAAAATTACACTACATGTCTCTGGTAATCATCAGGAAAGGGTGTTCTGTTTCTTCTTTTATTCCTATGACTTTTTACTTTTTTTTAATTTTATTTTTTATTCCTGCCAGACTTGTTGAACATGACATAGTCTCAGGCACGTCCTTGGAACACACAACATTTTTGGCTCTTCAGATGCTCGTAGAGCTGTATGTAGCTACACAGGGGCGGATATAGTGGGAGGTCTGGGGTGGGAGGATGGAGAGCCTGCTGAGTGCTCCTCCCTGTTACTCCAGGATGGAAATGAAGCTGACTACAGCACTTACTTCCTGACAGCCCAGTATCAATTTACATATCACTGACAAATGGCCCTTTTACATTTAGAGAGTGTTGGTCCTCTCCTTCCACCATCCTCTTGTTCTGTTTTGTCTCACACTGATGGAGCTGAGTTAGTGTTCTTGTTTTACTTGCGTTGACCAGAGTTATAAACTCCAGAAGTAAGAACAGCACCTGCCTTGTCTGTGCTGTGTCCTCAGCACACAGGAAAGTGTCTGACTTGGTACTTACTGGGGCAGAGGCTGCATTTTTAGGCAAATGACTTTTTAAAAACCATCTTAAGCCAGGTAGGTGGTGATTGCACAGGCCTTTAGTTCCAGCACTCAGGAGGCAGAGGCAGGCAAATCTCAGAGTTTGAGACCAGCCTGGTCTACAGAGTAAGTTCCAGGGCAGCCAGGGCTATTACATAAAGAAACCCTATCTTGAAAAACAAAACAAAAAAGCCAAACAACCTCCCCTCACACAAAAGCCCTGTCTTGGAATTTGAGTCTTCCATAGATCCTCGTGTTGTTTCAGGAAGCTCCAAGAGGCTCGTGCCTATGTCCACGTCTCTCTCACAGCAATTCCTGGCAGTTCTTTCTTCTCCCAGTGTGCCGAGAAAACATTTGCCTCACTGTTAGGTTTGTAATTTAGATTTTGCTTTTGTTTTGTTACTGAGAGACAGGATTTCTCTAGCTTTGGAGCCTGTTCTGAAACTCACTGTGTAGAACAGGCTGGCCTTGAACTCACAAAGATCCACCTGCCTCTGCCCGCCCCCCAGTGCTGGGATTAAAGGTGTGTGCCCTTACCACCCAGCACTAGATTTTCTTTTAAAAGTCAGTCTTGGCAAAACTCTTCTTTACCATACATGTTTCAGAAAGCCTAGGGCAGAGAGCCCTTTCACACTACGGCTTGGATCTTCGTCAAATACATTTCCTGAGTAAAACTTTGCTGCTTCTGTAAATACTTAATTGAAACCTAAAATATTAATGTTCTCCCATAGAAAGAATAAAAATTGCCAGAACCTTACATGATCTGGAGATAACAGTCTTTTCAGCAATTCTCAGCTATCAGGCTATTGGGTAAATGGCTTCTCAAGTCTCCCTATTTACATGACTCTTAACCTTTTCCCCCTGCAATATTAAGCTTCTGTGCCTCAGAGATGTACCATGTGGGAGCCCTTTCCACAAATTCTCATCAGTGTACCTTGAACATTAACATCTTACTGTGAGCATTGCGGCTCGGATAGAAGGGATCCTGGCAGTTGGGAGCCAGGGAATAGCACAGTAAGTATAAGAGAACCCTGGGTGGAAGAAGGGCAGCCACAAACTGAACAGACACAGGGATTTTATAGAGCTTCTTAGGGGCGGAGTTTTTTCAGGAAGAAGATTTTCAGGGTGGGAATTGGTCAGATTTCAGTCCCTTGAGCTCAGATTGACTAGATCTCTGCTCAGGAATTGGTTGGTTTTCTGCATAGTGATTGGTTAATTTTCTGCTTAGTTAGTTGATCAGGGGCAGATTTGGCTCTGGTTTCAGGGCCAAACATTGGGGTTTTTTTGGTTGGTTGGGTTTTTTTGTTTGTTTGTTTGTTTTTGATTTTCAAGACAGGGTTTCCCTGTGTAACTGTCCTAGCTGACCTGGAACTAGTTCTTATAGACCAGGCTGGCCTCAAACTCTTTGGCATTTGTCTGCCTCTACCTCCCAAATGCTGGGATTAAAGGCGTGCACCATCACCGCTGGGCCCAAACATTGTTTCTTTTACTGGCCTTTTTTTAGGTTTTTGGCTCTAGTTTTGAGGCCAGGGCATATTTCACTTTTCTGATTCTAGAGCCAAAGTGTGTTTCTTTGGCCCTGGTTTTAGGGTCAGGGTATATTTCTTTGGTTCTGGGTTTGGGGCTAAAGCATTTCTTTCACTGGCTCGGGTCTCAGAACCAGGGTGTATTTCTATCACTGACTCTGGTTTTAGGGCCAGGGTGGGTTTCTTTGGCTGGTCCCTTTACCCCATACTTAACGATTTCATCTGTGTCATGATTGCCTTAACATTCTACTAGCTTATTCCTGGGTGTAAGCATGGAAGGATACCCCACCTGCAAAACTGCCTGTTTCCTTCCTGTTTTCTTGATCCCTCTGTAATCTTCTCTGAGGTTGAAAAGGGAAAGCCCAGGGCTGGAGAGATGGCTCAGTGGTTAAGAGCATTGCCTGCTCTTCCAAAGGCCCTGAGTTCAATTCCTGGCAACCACAACCATCTGTAATGAGGTTGGGCGCCCTCTTCTGCCCTGCAGACATACAGACAGAAAGAATATTGTATACATAATAAATAAAAAAAAAAAGAAAGAAAGAAAGAAAAGGGAAAGCCCAAGAGAAGGCCAAGGAGTTAGGGAAAGTAGGACAGGATGACCCCTGAGTTGGGAGGAATCTGAGCATTGCAGCTCATATAGAAAGGGATCCTGGCAGTCCGGAGTCAAGGAATATCACAAAGTCACTGTAAGTGTAGCAGTTTACAGCCCTGCTCCAGGAGAAGGTTTCGCCAGTGTAACAACTCTGCTCCAATAGGGGAGGGTTTTCCCAATTTCCCAAAGTTAAAGTTCTACTCTGCTTCGCTCCATTCTGGTGAAAGGTCATCACCCAAACCTCATTCAAGAGCTTTATTGGGAGGGAGGGAGGGATCCAGGAGAGTAGCTGCCTCTGCCATAATGGAAAAAGGCCGCAGCAAACTGAAGAAGGAACCGGCCTTTCATAGGGCTTCCTATGGGCAGAATTTTTTCCAAGAGATTTTCAGGGTGGGAATTGGTCAGATTTCAATTCCTGAGATTGTATAAACTCAGAGATTGGCTGGATTTCGTGTTCAGGGATTGGTTGGTTTTTGTACTGAGTTGGTCAGGGGCAGAGTATATTTCTTTGGTTCTGGTTTCAGGGCTTACCCTTTTACCCTACACTGAGAGCTGGAGATGAGAAGACAGGTGCCTGACGGAATGCCCTCTCTGACACAGGCACAAAGGTGTGCTCACAGGGGTGCCTGGACACTCACCTGGGTAGGATCTTGAACTAGATGTAGGTGGCCAGGGGCAGCCAGGATTGGAAGTGTGGGGAGCACTGTCATGCAGTTGGCCTCATGTCATGCAGTTGCTGTTCTGCCCCTGCCTGGCCTGCCTTCCACCTGCTGTTTGTTTAACCCTCTTTCTGCAGCAGGCCTTTCCTAAGCCTTCCTCCAGCCCTCCAACCTTTTGTTCTAGGACTACCTGCAGATTAACCCTTGCCTGACTGTCTCAGAGTCTTCCAGTCTACTTCTGAAGCTTTGACTTTAGCGTCTTGGTAGGATGCAGCCTTAGCACCTGAGAATCATAAGGATGGATGGGCACAGCTTCTCCAATATGCCTTATGCTGTGATTCAGATTTACAGTTTGCAGCTAGCAGGTTTCACTGCTCCTATTTATTCTTGAATTTTCCTTGTTTCTATTTTGATTCTCGTAATCCAAATTGCAGTTTGGTGTTTCCACGGAAACAATTCAGTGATTGTTTGGTGTGCCGAGATGAACTGCGGGGGAGGGAACTGAATGACGTCAAACATTTTAAAGTTTCTCAGACATGACTAGGGTCAACTGTCACACATCATGAATATCTTTGACCCTGAAAACCTTTAGTTTTACTAACTGCTATGTTCTAGCCTCCTATATTCTCTCCAGCAAATTCCTGAAAAACAGTACCTCCCCCTGCCTCCCTGAGCAGATAACAGGCAGGAAGGGCTGTTAGAGGCACATTAGTGAGCCAGGGGATGTAAAGAGGTGAGAAGGAGGTCTGTGTGCCTACCTGAGTAATCAGTGTCAGAGGCTGGGGCTTGCCTACATCGCCAAACATCTGTTTCTACAGAGAGGGAAAATATCCCCAGTTTAGATATTTTCACATAAAGCTTTGGCTAAAACAAAACCAAAGTGTATCTCCCTGTCTGGCCAGAGGGAGCTTTGTCTATCTCCTTGAATTTGACCCAGATTCCCAAGGGCTAATCGCCACCATAAACAAAAACAAAAACAAACCTATCACTTCAAAGTGTTCCATAGTTAGGGTTCTGCCATCCTCTGTGGCCACCTCCCCTTCAAAGCCCTGCGTGCAGAGACTGCACATTGTGAGACCGGGGACAACGAGCCTGAAGACCCCCCTCGGGACAGTCAGGGGTCCATGTTCAGTCCTCACAGACTGGGACAGCTGGTGACAGATAGGCACTAGCAACAAATACCCATGATTCATTGACAGAGATGGGGATTTAGAACAAAAACATCTTAGGACTGGGGGTGAAGCTCAGTGAAAAGCACCTGTCTGGTATGTCTGGGCTTGGGGGTTGATTTGTAGACACACACACTGCATATCGTGACTCTTTTTCGTTTCCTTTATTCTTTTTCTTCTTTTTATTTATTTTTTGGCTTGGTTTGGGTTTTTTAGAGACAGGATTTCTTTGTGCCCTGGCTATCCTGGTCCTTGCTTTATAGACCAGGCTGGCCTTGAACTCAGAGATCCACCTTCCTCTGCCCCGGGATTAAAGTGAAGGGATTAAAGGACTGAACCACCACTGCCTGGCAAAATATAAAATTTTTTGGTAGTATCATTTTATTTTTTATTCTTTTTATTTATTTTTATATAAAATAAATTTTAAAAAAAATTTAATTTCCATTGATGCTTCCCTACAATTTTTTTTTTTTGAGACAGAGTTTCTCTGTGTAGGCCTGGCTATCCTGGAACTCACTCTGTAGACAAGGCTGGACAAAATTTTGCTTTTACATTAAAAAAATAATTGAGTTGATTGCATTTAAAATTTTTTTTATTTAATTATATTTTATGCATGAGTGCTCTATATATACCCACAGGCCAGAAGAGGTTTTCAGATATCACAGATGGTTGTGAGTTCCCATATAGTTGCTGGGAATTAAACTCAAGACTGCTGGAAGAGCAGCCAGTGTTCTTAACTTTTGAGCTATCTCTCCACCCCAGCTGATTGCTTTTCTTTTTTCCTCCTCCTCCTCCTCTTTTTTTTTTTTCTTTTTAGGTTTTGTTTTTTTTTTTTTTTTTCTTTTTTTTTTTTTTTTTTTAGTTTTTCAAGACAGGGTTTCTCTGTATAACAGCTCTGACTGTCCTGGAACTTGCTCTGAAGACCAGGCTGGCCTCAAACTCACAGAGATTCACCTCTGTCTTCAAAGTGCTGGGATTAAAGGCGTGCGCCACCACCACCCGGCTCACAGTTGATTGCATTTTTAAATGTTAAATTTTGGAATAACTTTTTTTTTTAAAGATTTATTTATTTATTATACAGCATGTGTGTCTGCATACTAGAAGAGGGCACCAGATCTCATTACAAATGGTTGTGAACCACCATGTGGTTGCTGGGAATTGAACTCAGGACCTCTGGAAGAGCAGCCAGTGCTCTTAGCCACTGAGCCATCTCTCCAGTCCCCTGGAATAACTTTAGATTTACAGAAAACTTCAAATATAGTGAGCATGTGTAAACTCTGCCTTGCTTTCCTAGTGTTGACATGTAACTGATAGATTTGTCAAAGCCAGGAAACTAGTATCAGTACATTAAACGCCAGCCTTCACGTAGATTTCACTCATGTAAACGTCCCTTACTCTCAAGCCACGGTCCAGGATTCACATGCTTCTTGGGCACCGTGTCTTCTTCGTACTGCTGGTGAGAGGTTTTGAATCCTTTCCGTGGCCTTGATAATCCTGAAGTTCTACCCGGGGATACTAGAATATCCTCCTGTCTGGGTTTGTCTGACATTTTTCTCAAGGTTATAGACTGAAGACTATGGATTTTGATATCTGATATCACAGGTATCAAATTTGCCTTGAACACTTTATGTCAGTGGTTCTCAGTTTTCCTAAGGCTGTGCCCTGTTGTAGTTGCTAGCATTCAGGCACTATGCTGGCCTGCATCCTGGGGACCTGGCAGGGTGCACTCAGGCAGTCCTCTGGCCTGCCCAGGGTCCTGACATCGTCTGCACGGCCACAACACATGCTACATTCCTCATGAAAAGCGACCACCTGCTTCCTGCCCCTCTCTCCTTCCCTCCCTCCTCCACCGCTCCTGTCTATAAAATTATTTTTGTTGCTACTTCATAACTGTAATTTTGCTACTGTTATAAATTGTAATGTAAATATCTGTGTTTTCTGATGGTCTTAGGTGACCCCTGTGCAAGGGTCGTCAGACCCACAGGGTTGAGAACCACTGCACTGTGATGTAAGAAAGACTGTGAGCTGCTAATCCTCTTGCTTCGTCTCCCAAGTGCTGGAATTACAGGCATTAGCCATTACATCTACATCTTAAGATTTTTAATTTATTTGAAAGATTTGGGTTTTTATATGTATGTATGCCTGTGTGAGTGTATGTCACATGAGTTCAAGTGCCAGAGAGAACCAGAAGAGGGTGTTGGATCCCCTGGAACTGGAGATATAGCACCTCTGGAAAGGGTAAATCAAAGATTCACAACCACTGAGACATCGCTCCAGCCCTCCTTTTCATTTCTTGAGAAAGGGCCTAACTACATAAACCAGCTGGCCTCTGAACTTGCCTTCTCCTGCCTTAGCCTCCCAAGTTCTGTGAATACTGTATGCACCACACCTGTCTTGTCTAACCTCTACATGGCATTCGATAAGTCTTGGGATTGTCAGCTCTGCAGTTTTTCTTTCCTTTAGCCTTTGGATAAGAGTAACCAAGTCTAGCTGGACAGTGGTGGTGCATGCCTTTAATCCCAGCACTTGGGAGACAGAGGCAGGTGGATCTCTGTGAGTTTGAGGCCAGCCTGGTCTTCAGAGCAAGTTCCAGGACAGCCAGGGCAACACAGAAAAAAAAAAAAGTCTTAAGATAAAAAGAGTAACCAAATCTAGTTCATCCTTAAGGGTCATGATGGGTAAGATAAAAAGGCAGAAATTAAGTTCCACCTCTGCATCTGTGGGGCTTGCTGGTGCACACCTTGTGAGACAGAGGCAGGCAGATAATTGTGAGTTAGAAGCCAGCCTGGTCTACATAGGGAGTTCTATGACAGCCAGGGATATATACTCTCTCTCTCAAAATAAAACAAAAACAAAGTCCACTTCACATACAGTTAAGCAATATGCTTGCTTGAGAAATATTTTATGAACATGAATCTCAAGTAGGCTGACCTCTCTAGAACAACCTGAGCAGAGGCAGCCAAGGATGCTATGAGCATTCCAAGTCAGGCTGTGTTAACTCAATTTCTCCCCTCTGCAAAGATCAAATGGCAGTTAGTCAAGAAGAGCCACTGGCTAGATGTCCTTTTCTCTTGCCTCAGGCAGGAAATGCCAGTGACCATCCTTGGTGGAAACTAGTGCACACTCATCCCGGGGTCTATTTGACAAAGTGGCTAGGTGTACTGAGAGAGTGCCAGGTGACTGTATGAATGCTGCTGAGGAGTCATATGCTGCCTCTATTGCTATACCAGTCGAGTACCACTGAGCCAAATCCCAAGACTAAAATAGCTGTTCAAATAATAGAATGATACACTCGCTGAGTCATCTTGCTTGCTAATGTGCTTCTTCCTTTACTTTCTTTCTTTCTTTCATTCTTTCTTTTTTTTTTTTTTTTTTGCTATGCTGACCTCAGGAGGGTAATGCGCAGGATGCATTCGGGCAGTACCCATCTTTTCCAGGAATCTGGAGAAAGAGCAAAGGCACAACCTACCAAGGGCATTGTATATATTGAACACCAATCAAAAACACACTTTAAAAAATGTCAAGTCAAAAAAAAAAAAACCTCCAAACATTTCAAAATAACAGAATATTAAGCCCAGGCTCAGCTCACAATGGGATTCGGCAGGAGTTACAGTATGTGGTGATTCAGGCTCTGCCAACCCCTTGTCAAAAGTCACAACTGGCTGCTGATAAGCTTACTCTATTTGGTATTTAAAAGAGGTCATCAAGTTATAATCCTCCTCCAAGTCCAGAACAGTCTCAACAATATTCTGGTCATCAAAAGCCTGCTTGAGGCTCCCAGGGTCAGCATCCAAAGACTTCCGAGGGCTCTCGTCTACAAGCAGGGCCCAGGCCTCCTCCTTAAGGGGTGAATCTTGGCAGCGTCCACACACACGGTTCAATTCGTTTTCAAATTCTAGTTTTCCAGCCAGTTCTTCAATAGTTCGGATACTCGTATGGTCTTAAAACAATAACAAAAGGACACTCAGTTTTATAGTTCTACTACACACCTTTGATCCCAGCACTCAAGAGGCAGAGGCAGGTGGATCTCTGTGAGTTCTAGGCCAGCCTGGTCTACAGAATGAGTTCCAGGACAGCTAGCACTGTTACACAAAGATACCCTGTTGTGGTGATATCTTGTTTGTACAAATAAAGCTTGCCTAAAGATCAAAAGGGCGTAGGTAGCCTCTAGTTAACCACAGAGGTCTGGAGGTCTATACAGATAGACAGGAAGTGATGTGGCTGGGCAGGGAGAGGAAGTGATAAAGTAGGTGAAGACAGGAGCTCAGTCTCTTTTTGGCTGGGGAGTTCAGTAGATAAGGTGGCCATGGTTTTGCTCCTTTGTCTCTCTGATCTTTTATTTTTCCCTCTATGTGACTCAGATTTTTATTATTAATACCTATTAGAACTCGTGCTACATATGGGTGCCCAATATGAGGCCAGGTAGTAGTGGCACATGTTTTTAATCCCAACACTCAAGAAGGCAGAGGCAGGTGGATCTCTGTGAGTTCAAGACCAGCCTGATCTACAGAGTGAGTCCCAGGACAGCCAGGGCTACACAGAGAAACCATCAGGAAAAAAAAAAAAGTTTCTGAGAACATTTTATGCTTAAATTAAAAACCACAAAACTGATCTACTTCATGAAAGAATTGTTGTCTAGTTTGATACCTTACTACCACACGCTAGCAAGCAAATAGACACACAAACCATAAACGGGTAAACATTTCAAGGGCTATACAGAACTAGACATTCCTGTCACAGCACACACAAGTGAGCCACCAGCCCTGATTATCTGTGCATTCTCAAGCATAGTATAAATGGAATATGCCTGCTTGTTCCAGCTCTCAGAACTCGCTGACCTGTGGGGGTGATGAGGTGGTAGGAAAAGCAGGGTCTGCGGGTAGTCGGGAGGAGACGGGTACTGGGAGTCCAAGGAAACAATGGGCAGAAGGAGCAATGACTTCAGCTTATCTCCTGGGGCTATCAGAGGACAGCCAGTCATCCAAAATTACAGAAAGGTTTTGGGGCCCAATGCAAGCACCATCCCTCATTAGACCTCCCTTGAGTCCTTTCTAACCTGGGGATTCTTCCATGTCCACAGTTTCTGGCAATGCCTGCAGCTATGTATCCCCTAACCAGGAGATGCTGGTTCACTGCAATATGAGTCATTTAGAAATAGGACACACAGTTCAGAGAACATACAGATATAGAATGTATGTAGGATAAACGTCTAACTGCTGGGTGTGCTGGTGCATGCTTATCATCCAGTACTCAAAAGAGTCAAGCAGGAGGATTACAAGTTTGAGATCAGCCTGGCCTATCCAGCCAGAATCTGTCTGAAAAAGGAAAAGCTTGGTGTAGTCCTAGGGAGTCTCAAAAACAAAACAAAAACAACAAAAATGGGATGGGTGGGGTAGGGGCTGCAAAAGATGGCTCAGTTGTTAAGAGGACTTGCTGTTCTTGTAGAATAAAGACACATTTAGTTCTTGGCACCTACGTGGAGGCTCACAACTCTGGAATTCCAGTTCCAGGAAATCCCAACACCTCTTCTGGCCTCTATTCACAAAGCACACACACATATGGTCCCCAAATATACCTGCAGGCAAACACTAAATCTTCAAACTGTGCCTAGATTAATAAAAAAAAGAAATTAAAAAGAATTTAAAAGAAAAAGGGGGCTGGGTGGTAGTGGCACACTCTTCTAAGAAGAAAGAGGCAGGCAGATCGCTGTGAGTCTGAGGCCAACCTGATTTACAGAGCAAGTTCCAGGACAGGATCCAAAGCTACACAGAGAAACCCTTTTTCTAAAACCAAAACAAAAAAAGAAAAAAATGGAGCTTGAGAGATGCCTCGGCAGTTAAGAGCATTTAACTGCTTTTGCAAAGGGCCCAGATTGAGTTATAGGCGTTCAGGCCTGGCGCTCATAGCCTCCTGTAATTCTAGCCCCAGAGGGAGGCAACACCTTTGGCCTCTAAGGTCACCCACACTCATTTGCATATACCCACACTTAAGATACACACAGACATATACATAATTAAAAATAATAAAAGTGTTTGATAAAGGAAAACTGTCTAATAAGACATATAGTACTATGCTAAGTGGCTATTTCTAGGGAGACAGATCTTATTCTTTGTGACAGTGTCTCATTCTGCAGCCTAGGTTGGCCTCAAATTCATATATATCTGCATGCCTCTGCTTTCCAAGTGCCACCATTAAAGGCAGGTGTCACCTCACTCAGCTACTAGAAAGATTTCTTCCACTTTTGCATTTCCCACCCGGTGGACTATTTGTTCTCTTCTTCCTTGGGCCTGTACTCCATTTCCTTCAGCTCTGCACTCAAGCACTAAGGTCTGAAGGCTGTTCTCTGTTCCTTCAGGGAGCCCAGATCATTATAAGACACTTAGGTAATGATCTTACTGATCTGTGACCTCACTAGGTTACCTGTTCATTGAAGAAAGGGGCAGTGTTGATTATTTCACGGTTCTCTACTGAGTCTGCTTTGGGCAAACTAAATTTCCAAACAAGATGAGGCCTATGTGAGGGACCGAGCAAAGAGCGGCCCAGCTTTCTACTTACCAATCATATCCAGCAGGTCCTTTGTGACCTCTCGGCTAGAACTGCTGAGCAGCATATTCGAGTCATCCTCCCTGCAGTCCAGATGGGTGCGGGTAGGGGAAGAAGATGGGGAGTTAGATATTCTTTCAGGAAAATACTGAAAAACTTCAGATAAGAAGGCCGGTGGTGGCGCACGCCTTTAATCCCAGCACTTGGGAGGCAGAGGCAGGCGGATCTCTGTGAGTTCGAGGCCAGCCTGGTCTACAAGAGCTAGTTCCAGGACAGGCTCCAAAGCTACAGAGAAACTCTGTCTCAAAAAAAAAAAAAAAAAAAAGAAAAAAAAAAGAAAGGAAGGAAGGAAGGAAGGAAGGAAGAAAAAAACTTTGGATAATCTAAAATGCGATTGATTTGGTGTTTGTCTAATTTTGTTTTGTTTTTAAGATTTATTAAATATAATGTTCCTCCTGCATGTATGCCTACATGCCAGAAGAGGGCACCAGATCTTATAGATGGTTGTGAGCTGCCATATAATCACTGGGAATTGAACTCAGGATCTGAGCCATCTTTCCAGCCCGTTTTGTTTTAAAGACACAGACTAGGTTGCCCTGGCTGGCCTGGGACTTACTGTGTAAACCAACCAGGATGGCCTCAAATTTAGAGATTCCCCCCTGCTTCTGTCTCTTGAGTGCTTGGGATTCAAGACATGCCACCATGCCCAGCTAAGACTAAAATTTACTGGTGACTACCTTTTATGCTATGAGAATAACCAGACACTGATAACTAAATCAGTGAAGAAACCAATAGCAATATCATAACAACTGATTCCACTACAGGTTACATTAATGTTTATGAAGCCACCACATATATTTGCAGATCACACAGTCATCCTGCTGAGTCAAGGCACCTGAGAATGGGACAGTTTGTAGCTGCTTAGTAGCTATAAAGGAGACAGTCAAAAAGTATTTTTTGGTTTGGTTTGGTTTAGTTTTTGAGACAGGGTTCCTCTGTGCCGTCCAGGTTACCTTGGAACTTACTCTGTAGACCATGGTGGCCTCGAACTCAAATACTGCTTGCTGAGATTAAAGGTGTATGCCACCACAGCCTGGCTGAAACAGAGACAAAGATAAAGCCAGGAAGTAAAGCCTCGTCATGGATCTAAGTGTGGGCAAAGGAAGGTAAAGGCCAGTGCCCTGGCTGCGAACATGGAAGATGTGTGTGGTATTTTTGTTTTTGCAGCTTAGAGTGTTTACATTTAAATCAGATCACTCAGGACTGGTAGCTCATGTCTATAATTCCTGCATTTGGAACTTAAGACTCAGAGATCCGAGTTCAAAGTTATCCTCAGCGACACAGGAGCTTAAAGCTACATAAGAGTTTAGGCTGGTAGAATGTCACAGCAATGCAAATGTAAGCGTGACGACTTGAGTTGATCCCTGAACCCACAGGGGAGAGAATCAACTCCTGGATCCCTGAATCCACAGAGAATCAACTCCTGGATCCCTGAACCCCCTTTGGTTCCCATAAGCATGCTATGCCATGCCTATGTCTACACTCCATCCACACACACATATACATACTAATAAAAATATAAAATTAGAAAAAACCAGGTGGCTGAAGATGGCTCATCGATTGAGAGCACTGGCTGCTCTTCCAGATGCACAGCACCTACATGGCAGCTCACAACTTTCAGTCACTCTAGCTGCTGGGGAGGCAGAGTCACAGCCTCTGGCCTCTGCAGGCAAAACATCGACACATACAAAATACAAATTAGGAAAACCCTCCAAGTACAAGAAAAGCATTGCTAAGGCTTGTTGATAAGCGGTAGAATGTTTGCCTTAGCATGTATGAGACTTCTGGTTTAATCCTCAACACCACCCACACATTTAAAAATAATTACTTAACACCGATTGCCCTCTGGGTACCATAGTTTCCATGCCTGGATATCTAGAGTTTTCAGCCCAAATATATACAACAAAACTGTCTGTTGGGGTCAGATTCTGAAAACTGTATCAACTTCCTGTACACTCTTGGCACTCCCAAGAGAAGGCTAGCTTAATAACAAATCAGACTTTTTTTTTTTAAGAAACGATTCTCCCTAATTGATGCTATTATAAGCAATCAAATTAAAATCACCTTAAACTTTCTTTTCTCCAGTTTTCCCCATCTCCTGCAGCTCTCCAAAACTGTTTTTCACGTGCCAAAATGGAAGAGTGCATCAAGACATTTTCCTTGCTGGTCAGAGGTTTTCTTTTGGAGTATAAAGGAAGGGGCTTTGCATTAACTGGGACATGGTGTGGTGCAAAGACAGGGTTCTCATTCTCAGGAGCATATGAGGCACCAGCGCAGGAGGCAGCAGAGGGGCAAGCTGCCAGTGGGTTTCGGCAGAACAGCCTGTGCACGGGCAGGGAGGCGAGCGATGGGGCATCCAGCCTCTGCGGGCCTGTGCACTCCTGGGAATGCCTGACTCCTTCAAAGGCTCGGTCTATGGCTGCAGTCAGCTCCTTTCTGCATCTTCGTAGTTTCTCAGACATTTCCCTAAAAGTGACCAGGCCTTTTATTATTTAATAATCGGAAATGCACAGAGCAACGCGGTAATAATGCTATACAAGAGGCTGAGATTCTACCGGGATTTCAAGTTTGATTTACACTTAACACCACATCATCCTTCTTTTTCCTCTGAGAGGGGATTATTGCCCACCATTCTCATGACCCCAGATCGCGGGAAAAGGCCTGATACACCCCGCTTAACCCCCAAGAGCTTCCTTAGCTGGTTGCCACTGGACCTTTCCCACCGCCGCCCCCCACTGCGACCCAGTTGTCTGGGTCTCCAAACAATGGCCAATCTAGGCCGGAAGGGGCCCCTACTGCGTCCTCACCCAGCCGTGGCCGAACAAGAGTGCCCAACGGACACTGCGCGTTCACGTGCCAAGACGCGACTCCCAACCCCCCACGTACTAGGTTAAAGGTCGGTCAAAACTCACATGACCACAAGGGGCAACAAAGGCCTAGAGAGGTGACTTATTAGCAGAAGAGTAAGGTGTAGCGCCACTGGGATAAGGGAAAGAATCCAGTCCGGAGATAACTGTTACTGAAAACTTTTTTCCGGAGGGTGGGGGGGGGGGGGGGGGGGGCGGCGTGGGGTTGTTTCCAAGTTGGTTTCTCTGCTGTCCTGGCTGTCCTGGAATTTGCTCCATAGACCAGGCTGGCCTTGAACTCAGATTCACCTGCCTCTGCCTCCCAGGGCATAACACCATTGCTTTGCTGGAAACAGTATTTTCTTAAAACACATTTAACTTCAGTGTTTTGAAGACCTGGCAAACACCCATAGTGTTTCTCTGAAGCCAACATGGAGAAACAATTCCATACACTGCACCCAGTTTTATGAATGGACTTATTTTAAGAGAGTGTTAATAAAAGTTCCACATAGAATCAGTCTGTTTATCAAGGACAGTGGGGTTAAAACAGAACTTCAAGGTTCCACGAAAAACTGAAAACAGGACCCTCAAGAGCTGGGAAATTCTGAGAGAACAGAGACTAGAAATGGGCTCCAGTAATAATTTACTGCTGCTAATGTTCAGAAAACTATAACCCCATCTCAGTGAACAGCAAAGAACTCGAGGACAACATCAAGTTTACTAGAGGCTTGGTTTACTGTGGCCAGACTACCGGGTGACCAGTATGGGCACCAGAACCCAAAACCCAGGAGTTCAGAGCAGCCCTGCATGGGTCTTCATGGCTGCACCATACTCAATTACAGGGTGTTCCTCTCCATTCTTTGGAATCCATGAGACACGCTTCACTGTGTACCAAATCCCACCCCACACTTCAGCTCCACAGGTTTATCTCAACACCCATTTAAAAGAAAAAATAATTCAGCCTCTTAACATAACCCTTCTGAGAGAACAGGGTCTTTCTTTTCTTGTCTCTTCTCAGAAAAGAAGGTAATTTCCTCATCCGGTTTTAAGATTGACATGAGCAGTCTTCAAGAGTGTCAAAGGCATTCTCCTGGGGGAGGACACTGCTGTGGGGTGGGGGAGGTGGCAGGGTCGCTGAGTCAGCATCAGTTGGTGTCCATGTTGGAAGCCTCATCATCTCCCAGGCCCTGCTGTGAGCTGCCCAGCCTCATGGCTCCATCAGAAGAGCCTGGGAAAGCGGTGAGCGAGGGCACACTGTGACATTCATCATCACGACGCTGGTAGAATAGCACGTAGGCAGCTTTCGTCTAAAATACAAGGGAGGGAGTCCATTTACTGGAAACACACACACCTGTCCCCCACCCTTTCCGCACCATTCTATACTACTAAACTCATGGTAGCTCTTGCCTATAATCCCAGCAAGGGGAAAAGAGCCCGGGAAAGGAGGGTTTTTTGTTTGTTTGTTTGTTTTTTTGTTGTTCTTTTTTTTGCCAGCCTGGGTCTCCGAGTGAAACCCTTACTCAAAAAAAAAAAAAAAAATCAATCTGAAACTGGATGTGGTTACACACACCTGTAATCCCAGTTATCAGAAAGCAGAGGCAGGAGAATTACCATAAGTTTTAGGCTAGCCTGACACACAAAGTGAGTTTAGATTAGGGATGTGTAGAAAGCCACAGCCTCGATACACAAGCACTCTGAAGGAATGGGTGAGCGAGTGAACGAACAAGCACTTTCAGGAGTCTGCCACCTTGTTTGCAAAGCCACATCTAAGAGCAGCCAGAAAGGCCCTTGACTAGCTGCCTCCTGACCTCCCGGCCAAGGCTGTGGGGAATGCAGGATTACTATGATCTAGTACCTCAAGGAAAACTGAGCTTTTCCATTAGGAAAGATCTAGAATGAATGGCAGTCCACTCTACTCCACCCAGAGCCCCTCCAGATAATGAAGTAACCGATGGCCTAAGAGGATCTTTTTGGCTTACTTGTTAAGATAACCAGAGAAAAGTGGGTATCTGGGCCAGGTACTCACCACTATCTGATCCTCAGAAGCCAGAGACACGTTGCTGTCATCAAAGTAATACCACTTCCCATTCAGTCTGTTCTTTGCATACGCAGTGTCTGCAAGTTACAAATAAAACGCTCTAATGGCCACCGGGAAAATGAATCTGGTTATTTCATTAGGACTAGGATGAAATACAAACACAGGTTTCTACCCAAAAACACTAACACTGACATTAAGAATAATGTATAACGGGGGCTGGAGAGATGGCTCTTCCAGAGGTCCTGAGTTCAATTCCCGGCAACCACATGGTGGCTCACAACCATCTGTAATGAGGTCTGGTGCCCTCTTCTGGCCTGCAGGCACACATGCAGAAAGAATATTGTATACATAATAAATATTTAAAAAAAAAGAAAATTAAAAAAAAAGAATAATGTATAACCAGTGTGAATCCACTCAGGAAGCAGGGACACGAGCACTACCCCCAAGTACAAGGCCAACCTGGCCAAGTCTCAAACAGAAAACACCACCACCACAAAATTATATAACAACTAATATGCACATACATATAAGCAACGATAAGTTTGTTTGTTTCTCTGTGTAACCCTGGCTGTCCAGGAACTCACTAGTAGATCAGGGTGCCCTTGAACTCAGAGATTCACCATCTCTGTCTCCAGAGTACTGGAATTAAAGATACATGCCACCACGCCCAGCTTTGTCATTTTTTAATAAAGATCTATTATCTAATTATATGGAGGGGTGGTTATGAGCACAGGAGTGCAAATGCCCACAGAGGTGATAAGGTGGTGCGGGGAGTCAGCCGACATGTGCTGGGAACTAGACAGGTCCTCTGGAAGAGCAGTGCTCTCCATTATTGAGCCATCTCTCCGGCTGCCCCAGTGTCTACTTAATGGCTATGATCAGTGCTAGACACAGTGCAATGACAGAGCACTTGCCTAGGATTTATCAGTGCCCCTAACAAACGAAAATAGTCATGAGTATAATCCAGAGCCACAGAGGGACTTGGCGAAGGCACTGATACTTCTAAGATTTAAGCAAAACAAGAGCAGATGGCTTCGTCTTCAGCAGAATGTTCTTAGTGCCTCTGGAGCCAGTAGAGGAATTCTGGCTGGAAAACAGTGACCACTAGGTTTGCAGAGCTGAGAGGTGAACAAGAAGCTTTCCATTTCTTTTCTCCACAGCTATGACTGAGAATCTATGGCAGGCAGGCTGGAGATGCAGCTCAGTAACCGAGCTAATCTAGAATGCACAAGGCTCCAAATTGCATCCCCAGTACTGGGGGAAAAGTAATGCCCCCCTCAAAACTGGTATATATAGCTAAAACACAGTTGGAAGGCTAGGCAGGAGGGTAAGCATTCTGACAGCCAGAGCTTCATAGTAAGGTCTTGTCTCAACAACAACAAAATACAAAAAAAAGTTTCCATTAAAGTGAACCAGAAATTCTGGGAAATAGGTCAAAAGAAAGAAATCACTGTTTTTTTGCTGGGTATGGTCATGTATACCCATCACCTCAGCAGGAATGGAAAAAACTGGAGTTCAAGGCCATCAAGGATTACCTGGCAAGTTACAAGCCAGCCTGGGATATACAATGAGATTCTGTCTCAAAATCAAACCAAACTACACCAAAAATAAACTAATTTTGGCATCTCCCATTTTAGGCCTCTGTACCCCTTGTATTTTCTCCGCTTTTGCAGAGCTGGGATACTGCTTCTGTAAAGACACTAATTTTACAGAGCTGTTTTTGTTTATCAGGGCACTTACCATGTATTCTGAAGTGGTTAAGAACTCTCTGATCAAGGCCCTGGACAGCAGTATCAGCTGTGCTCTCAAACACATTTGACAGGGGAATGAGCCAGGTGCAGTGGCACACATCTTTAATCCTAACACTTGGGAGGCAGAAGAGGTAAAGCAGATTTCTGAGTTCAAGGCCCATCTGTCTACAAAGCTAGTTCCAGGACAGCCAGGGCTACACAGAGAAACCCTAGCTTGAAAAATCAAAATAAACACAGAGGCAAACGTTTTTGTGCAAAAAGTTTTATCATGTCCTTGTCTTTTTTTTTTAATTTATTTATTATGTATACAATATTCTGTCTGTGTGTATGCCTGCAGGCCGGAAGAGGGCACCAGACCTCATTAGAGATGGTTGTGAGCCACCATGTGGTTGCCGGGAATTGAACTCAGGACCTTTGGAAGAGCAGGCAATGCTCTTAACCACTGAGCCATCTCTCCAGCCCCCTCATGTCCTTGTCTTAAGAGAGAATCCCAGAGGTAAAACCAGCATGGCCCCTACTTGAGCGGCTAAGGCAGGACGGCTTGGAGTCCTAGGTTGCCCTGACTGAGGACATGATGAGCTCCAGACCAGCAGGGGAATATCAGTGGGACAACTCACCACATTAGCAGTATTGAATTAAATATGAAAAGTTAGAAAGGAGAAAGGAAGGGGGTTAGAGAGGGCGAGGGATTGAGAAAGCCTATAGCCAGGAACTACAAACAAGCCAGGGGCTAATGGCAGTGCCAGGCATCCAGGAAGAGGCCAAGAGAACACCAGGCAGGGCATTTCCACACATCTGAAGTAAGCAGATGCCAATACTTACAGTGACCAACCCCCATGGCTCCATAGTGATTGGACACAGCAATTAGGTCATAAACATAAGGTCTTGCTGACCGGTCACAGACAAACTCGGACATATTCAGAGATCTGAGTAAAAAACATAATACCCCATAAATAAGTTAAACTCTGCAGCCCAGCAACCCCTTTCATCCAACAGACCAGAGTATAGGAAAACACTCAGACTATGTGAGGAAAAACAGACCAGGGCAGAGTGACCATTTGTCAGACTGAGAAACCGGGAGAGGTTCAAGTTGTGGCGCTACCATACTGTGTGGGTTCCAACAGCAGTAAGACGTAAAGAGGGCTTCAGCCCCTGAGTCGGGAGGCTGCTATTAACCGAGCTGCAACCACTGAAATGTCAGCGCAGGTCCTGGGAGGCTGTCCTAGTTCGGAATTTTCTTTGTTATTATTGTTGTGTATGTGTGTCTGAGTGAGTAACTGAGTGCAGCCATTAACACCACATCACAGTTATCTGAGGACAGCTTTTAGGAGGTTCTCTCTTTTGATCATGGAATCTGGGGATCAGACTCAGGCCATGAGGTCTGTGTGGCTAGTGCTGTTACTCGCTGAGCTGTCTTCACTGGCTCACACTGAAATGTTCAAAAAAACAGAAAGGGTAAAAGAAAATAAGGCATGGAGTACATGCTTCAATTCCAGCACACAGGAGGCAGAGACAGGGATTTCTCTGAGAATTCGAGGTTAGCCTGGTTTACAGAGCAAATTTCAGAACAGCCAAGGCTACACAGAGAATCCCTGAAAAACTTTGGGGGGGGGAGGAAAAAGAGTTTTTAATTACCAGGGTGGATTTGAACTTGCAATCAATTATCTTCCTGCCTCAGCCAAGGATTGCAAGCACACACAACCACACCCATCTAAAGATCAGTTCCATTGGGTAGGTGGCTCTGATCACCTTATTCCTGTTCATGAGAAGCAGCACTGAGCCTGTGCTGGCCTGGCTGAGACCAGGTC